GGGATAGGAAAGTGTCCATCAGATGTGCTCTTCAGAATCTTGCTGAAGTAGTAAGTCATCCGGAGACTTTTTTCGACTACTGTTCTACTGTGAATCTGGACATGCTACTCGACCCCCATACTGTTTTTGCCTACTATATAGTAGTAGAAGTATGTGGTTTTGGAGGCATCCACAGTGTGCCATAAAACTAGGAAAAAAACATTATTCTCAACTGAAATCTCATTTGGCCAGGTAGTGATTCAACTTTTTTTTTAAAGCTTAGCTTAAAGGAACACGCCACTATTTTTGAAAATAGGCTCATTTTCCAACTCCCCTAGAGTTAAACATTTGAGTTTTACCATTTTCGAATCCATTCAGCCAATCTCCCGGTCTGGCGGTAGCACTTTTAGCTAACTATACTCTCATTCTGGCGTAATAATTAAGGAACTTTGCTGCCGTATCATGGGTGCAGCAAACGCAATGATATTACGCAGCGCCTGAAAATAGTCCCCAGCTAGGTAATATCGAAAATCTTTGCACATTTTTGAGCGAGATGCTAACGGTCTAATCAGATTCAATGATCTATGCTAAGCTGCAGCTAAAAGTGCTACCGCCAGACCCGGAGATCGGCTGAATGGATTTGAAAACGGTGAAACTCAACTGTTTAACTCTAAGGAAGTTGGAAAATTAGCCTATTTTCAAAAATAGTGGCGTGTTCCTTTAAATGTGTGACATGAATAAACAAATGGCTGTTGAGATTCTAAATTGAAATGATTAGACAACAAGTGGATAAGATGCGAAATATACTCTGTCTGGCCATATGAGGTAAGTATGACTGGGCCTTACGTCAAAACTCTGTCTTCCCAAAACAGGCAGTTTCAAAACAACATACTACTACTTCTACTCCTACAATCAACCAATCAATAAAAAAATAAATAAAGTGTAATTTTTAGAGATTCATTTCTGGCTGTCAGTTTATTTACAGGAAATTCAATATTTAAACATGTATTTATTCATTAAGCATTTGTCTCTTTCAAAAGTTACTTTAAAAAATAAATTTAAATATTTAAAACATGTAAATAACCTGTTTACCCCATTTGTTAATGTAAAGTTGCCATAATACCACATATTACATATTTTTTGGACATGTTCCATTGTATGATTTACTTACTTATTTACTTACTGTAGAGCAGGGGTTCCCAACCTTTTTTTTGTTTTTTTAATTTCCCATTTTATTTTTTAATTAATAATTCGTTTTTCAACAACACAAACTGCAGTTTGGGAAACCCTGCTGTAGAGAACCATGTAAATACCATGGTGTGTAAAACTCATTTCATTGCACCTTGAAAACTGCCATCTGATACAGGCACTGTACTTTATCAGCAGCACCACTTTTCTTTTATATTGTAGCAAGTTTTCCTTAATCCATTTTTCCCAAGAGGTTTTGATAGTACACTGAAGCTGTATTTGCATTACAGTAACATGATTAAATTATAACGGTGAGTTAAACAGATCCTATCCATGCAGAAATATCATCTCTCGCCATTCTAAATTTATAACACCCCCAGGGTTTAAAACCACGATCAACGTCAATCCAATCCCTCCAGTCCCACCTGAGGCCCCATTGTAGAGGGACCTGTGACTGTGCTCAGAAACAGACAGGCTGAAAGGTTTGGGTTTTTTTTTATGAGATGATGGGTACTAGCATGAACTGGCACACCTGTGCCCCGCACGGCGGGTCCCATCAGTTTTTATTGACCCAGTTTAATTGGCTCCAGTGGACAAGCGGGAGTTAGTGAGAGAAGCGCCTCTGCATGTATTGATCCTGCAGCTTGTTGCCTGACTCTTAAAATTCCCACACTAGTTTACAATCTTCCAGTCTTTTGGGTTTTAAGAAGGTCGTGTGTAATGTCAGTGTCAAAGGTTAATTTATTTAGTCAACACCAACAGCAGTGGTAAAGGACTCCAAGTTATTAACTCCAGTTAATAAGCTCCAGTGACAGCAATTAGTTTCATTAACCATCTGATCATAAGAATTTTCTCACCTCTGCTACTCAAAAAAAAAAGTGTAATTTTTAATTCATTTAATCCATTTGGATCTTTAAATATATTCACTAATGGACATTCTAGTCGGAGGTACAGCGGTGTTGTTCAAACGCGCGTGCAGACGCAGAAGAGGGAAACACGCCGGCGCCCTGGTGAAGCTCCGCGCGCGCGGCTTTCGGACTGCGCTCCCAAGCATTCATCTCGCGAATGTCCGTTCCCTTCCTAACAAAACGGATGAACTTCTTCTCCTCACCCGCACCAACAAGGACTTTTCAAACTCTGCTGCACTGTGCTTCACTGAAACCTGGCTGAGTGAAGCCATTCCGGACAACGCGCTTCATCTGCCGGGCTACCAGCTGTTCAGAGCAAAAAATCACCTTGGACCCCTCACCCCCAGCCCACTCTCTCTTCGAACTGTTGCCTTCTGGTCGGCGCTACAGAGCACTGACCACCAGAACAGCCAGGCACAAGAACAGTTTTTTCCCACAGGCTATATTCAGTCTGAACAATTAATCTTTCATAATTATACATCGTCCATCACAACTAACATAGTTATATTTATATTAAACTGCACACTTTGTAAATAACATATCTGCACACTAATAAACATATCTGTACATTTATCTAAACTATTACATTTTTTCCTATACTTCTATTTCTGTATATAGTATATTATTCAATTTTTCTTTTTTTTATTATATTAGTGTTATATTACATCCCCACTGTGTTATTCCTATGTATGTCTGCACTATGTTTGTACTGTCTTCTACACTGGAAGCTCCTGTCGTCAAGTCAAATTCCTTGTGTGTGTAAACATACTTGGTAATAAAGCTCTTCTGATTCTGATTCTGATTCTAAAATTGATTGTTTCAGTGATCTTTTAAAACAAACAAACAAACAAACGCCACACATAGTCAAACCTGTTTTTTGGCACATAAAAAAAAAATCATTCCATAGATTTTTTATTAACTATTTCCATCTATTTAATTTTATTTAAATCACATTTTCAAAATGGATTTATCCATATTGGTTAGAATCAGCATTAAAAAGTGTGAACATGGTTAAAATATGGCTAGCTGTGGAATAAGCAATTACTGTAAAATTACTGTGAATTTAAAATACATTCATTTTATTAGTACTATTTCAGAAATCTTACCTGTTTCTTTTATTTATGACTGATAAATATACATCACAAATGTATTAGTTTTTTTTTTTTTTTTTCCAGATGGGTGGAAATTTTATATGCCATTGAAATACGTATATCTTAAATTTAGGCCTAATTATTTTTAAGGGTCAGTGTTATTCTAGTATTATTTATATATTATTATAGTATTTATTAATATTTGGAATTAGCTTTTACTTTAGTTCGTTTTAATGTTAGTTGTTATTTTAAGTTTTGAAGTTTTTAACGTTTTAAAATTGAACTTTATTTTTATTTCAGTTTTTGTTTTAGTAATTTTAGTACTTAAACATATTTCAGTTAGTTGCCAAAGCAACATTTCTCATTTTGTAAAAGTTTTTCATCTGATATGTATGTTATTTTATTTCAGCTTCATTTCAGTTACTAAAAACAATTATTAATAGTTTTAGTTAACACTGCATTAGGTGTCATCTATAGGCTCTTTTGAACATCGAGTGAAAATCAGGACATTTTGGTGGACGCTTGATCATCCTAACAAATGAACAACAGTTTATTCCCTTAAAGGGGTCATATGATGCTGCTAAAAAGAACATTATTTTGTGCACAAACAAAATTTGTTCACAGACATTGATTCGTTCTGTAACAAAGCAAAGCTTCTCCAATGCATGCATTTCCTTTAATCAGTTTCCCATTTTAGCCTTTGAAACCAACAGAAATGTCTGTAAGATGAACTCAAACTAGATCTAAATCATAATGCTACTTTATCACAGAACCCAAGTTATGAATTAACATTTAATTTCCAGGGAAATGTCCTATCTTCCCACTCTCTTTGGTTATATAAGTTGAGAGAAGTTGACTTTGGCTGATTTAGTGGCTAAATTGTATTCGCCTGGCATTGCACTGAGCGCACACAACGACAAGCGCACAATGATAATGTGCCAGAGGATGACGAGAGAGAGTTAATTGGGTTTGCCCTTTCTCTTAAGATGCATAGATTAAGAGGAATCATAAATTAACAGACCTATTGAGTCTTAATTGTGGCTGGTGAGTGGAAATCTCACCCTCATTATGGCCTCTGTGCTTTTACCCTGGTGATCATCGTTCAGGCATCACACAGAGACAACTAAAGGTCATATACTGCTGCCAAACAATAACGAAATTCACGAGGGTGAAGAAACTCTCCAAGATACGTTTTAGTATGCAAAACTGGGTACCATAGTGATGATCTACTAAATATCAGTGAGGCTGGCGAGGTAGCTGGTAAAATAATCATATTCAGATGATGGCTTGAGTGAATTTTAGCTTTTTTGATCTCACAAATGGACTGACTGCCACTTTATGTAGTTTTAAGTTGATGGTGATAGATACAATAACAAACTGCTATATAATAATTTATTTTTGATACTTCCCAATGATCAATTAGTGACAGCGACTGACTCAAAATTTGTTTTAAAAACTAGGTTTTGGAAGAGTGTGAAAAAATCATATTTGAGCAATTTGTTTAGTAGAATTAAGACTCACATGATGTGGACTTATTCTGTGTTGACACTGACTGTATAATTTTAGCAGCTTAATATAATATTCTGATGAATTTAAATGAGGCTGGTAACTGAGTTATTTGTTTGTACAAGGCTGCCCTCTAGTGTATGTTTTGGAGAGCACAAACTACCTCCAAATACATACTTCATTCTGTTTTTAGATTTTGAATTAAAGGAATAGTTAACTCAAAAATAAACATTTGCTCTAAATTCAGACAAATAAAATTAACAAATGACAACTAAAATTTAAAAAGAAAACAGATTAACAAATTAAAAAAGGGATTTTGCCCCCCTTTATCATTACTATATCACATAATTATTCTCAACATTTTAGAGAAAACTTGAAAAGGAAATTCTTAAAACACCCTTGCCCTTAAATATTTAATTAGAGTTTCACAATCTCGCCCGACTGAATACCTCTGTGGTACAATCTCTCCTAAAATGTGTTTCTGCAAATTCTGTCCTGCTCCATCTGAGACTTGGCCTTCTTTTTCAGCAGTAGGATGTGTTCGGCGAACTCTCGCACGGCTCCGTGACCTGCTGTGTTGCGGCAGATGTATTTGGCATGGTTGCGCGCCACCGTTGGGGCATCCATGGGTACTCCGCTCAACCCTGCCAGTTCCAGGCATTTTATATCCGCCTCATCATTTCCTAAAACACAGATGCCATTTTTAATAGTCATTTTAAAGAAATGGGTGTGTTTAAGTCAATCTAATGAAAGATTACAACATTATCAAAATTACCAGATAAATGGCTGATAAAGTAATAGGTTTTAGTATTTGTAGTTAATATTGAGGTACAATCTTTTAAATCTGTATTAGCCACACCACCTTGCCGAGACACACCATGTTGTTACTGATCATGGCATTTGGTTGATGTAACTGAAAGAAACACAGAGCTCCTGTCTCACCTAAATATGCCACCTCTTTCCACTCCATTCCTTTTTTCTCCATGAGTTCCTGCATCTTCTTCAGTTTGTCATCCACTTTCTGCAGGAGTGGACAGCCCATTCTTTGTGAGAGTTTGTCTGCTAAGGCCTTTGTTATGGGGTCTTTTTCGATCAAAATAACCTAGAGGAAAGGGGGGGAAAACAATATACACACACATACATTTTAAATTAGTGTTCATCAGAAGCAAGAAAATGATAGTTTTTGAAACAGCTTAAGGATGAATAAATCGTAACAGATTTTTTAAATTCAATTATCAATTTAATACACATTTCTTTTTTTTTACTAAAAGATCAGTCTCCGTAAAGACTGTCAAAAATTGCCAGTGCCGACTATATTTCAAGTTGTCATGGCAGGGTATTGGGTAAAGTTTTCAATTAGCAATAATCGCGCCTCGGATAAACCTCATAGGCTACGATACTGCCACTGCGCAAAGATAACCGGCTAAAGGAGACATCTGAGTACTTGTCCGTCTGAGCCCCTGCGATCATCAATGGTGGGATCTGCAGAACTCACTAAAAATGATCAAACTGCACAACTCTAAACTTAAACTGTTAAAACCGGCAGTTTTAAAAAGTGAAATATCAAGTTGTGGATTTTATACCCAAGTTATATTGAATTAAAAGACAAAAACAAGAGGGGTCCCAGTTGCATGATGGGATACGAAGGGGCAAAGACAAAAGAGGGATGGGTCTATTGTTGTGTGGGGGTTGGTAGAGGTCGGGGGTGGGTAACACAAGGTTGCCAATCAAGCCAAAATCACCTTCACTTCCTCTTTCTTCAGCAAGTCGATGCCAGCCTGGTCTCTGGTGTTGATGGACACCATCTCCTCTCCATTTGCTGAGATGTGGATCTGACCGTCTGTCAGACATCCTGAGACGTTACACAGCAGAAGTCTCACAACTTCAGGTTTGTCCTTACCGAAGTAACCGAACCTGTATCAAACATACACACCCACACACAGTTTGTTTAAATTCAGACTTTGTACTCTTTGCATTGTGGTTGTTTGCTAACATAAAGTTGCTTGGAGACTTTTGTTTCTTGACCTCAGCACTCTCTGTTCAGCTACGGGCCAGTCTATGTCAACATCAATATCCACACTGTTTTACTATTTTTTTACACTCCAGACCAGAGACTGAAGGAAAATATTGCTCAAACCTTAACTATGAAAACATTCACCTTATGCCGAATCTAGCAAAGTTTTGAAGCTTGCAACCTTGAGGAACAAGCTGTGTCTCTATCTCAGTTTCTTTGTTACAGGGGAATAAATATATTTCATCAGAACCATATTTTCAATGAAAAAAAAAAAAATTACTTCCCTGGTAAATATCGCAATCAAAGGTCCCACTCTGTCAAATGTAAAAACAAAATCACAGTCATGCCAAGATATTAAGAGATTGACTGAGGATATTGAGAATGAGTAAAATGGTGGCCTTAATGGTACTCATTTTAAATCCCAAAATATTACCTGAAGAAGCCCCTTTTCTAGAAGTTCTTTGGTAGTGAAGTAAAAAGAGCCGTTTTCACACAGCTCTCCTGCCCAGTCCTGACGCCGCGGCCTGCAAACTGGGTTCAGGTTCAGAGCCTTAGTACATTGGCCATCTGTAATTTAAATAAAAAAATTAAGAGTCTCCAACATGCAATAAATACTACCTAAACTAAAGTACAAGTACACTACTGTACAAAAGTTTGGGGTGGGTAAGATTTGTAATGTTTTTGAAAATCTCTTAAGAAAGTGTTCATTTCTTTAAAAAAAATCTTACTGACACCAAACTTTTGAAAAGTAGTGCAAAACTAGTCTAAGACTCGATTCACAAGTGTTCTGAACATGTACATGTAACAGTATTATTTTCTAAACTGAACATTTACAGAATGCACTTAAACAAACCTCCTTTCTCGACCTCTTGCCATCGGAAATGGTGTCGCCGGACCACAGAGAAGACAGAATCAAACCCTTCTTTGGTGATGAACTCCACAGCCTCTTTGAGATGGTGGGGGTGCAGACATGGAGACGTGGCCTGGATGTTACAGATGACACCAACATCTGTGCAAGAACATTAAATTAACGGTAACCACATTTGTAGCCAATTTTCGATTTCTGTGCTCCACCAACTGTTATTTACTACACCGTGAAATTACCAGCAATTTCTGAAATGTGAAAATGTTTCATACAATTACAAAGAAACAGCAAGTAACACATTGAATTAAATGTAAAACTAAAATTGTATTTTCTTGTAATATGTACTCCAATATCTTTGCTTTATTTACATCTTTGAAAAATATTTTAAAAATTACTTCCCTGGTAAATATCGCAATCAAAGGTTATTATAAACATTGCTGTGCATCATTGAACAAATATTTGTTGACTGCAGAGTCTGTTTTTCACAAATAACAAAGAGATGAAGGGTGAAACTCTCCTGGTATGCAACGACAAGTATGACAGAACTTCGTTTACGTGGCTTCTTACCTGTTTCTATGTTTGTTTTACTCTAAAGCAAGCAGAAGTAGGTGGAGGAGTGGACACACCTGCTTTACAACCTGTAGTCACACCCCTTATACAGAACTAACTCATGCAATGGGATGTGACTGCAACAGAGCCTGTTTTCCAACCTGGGTTTAGCCTGCTGAACTCCTGAATGGTCTCCAGTGAGCTTGAGGAGTCTTTGGACACCTCTGGACTCCTCCTGTGCACTTCAGCACCCCAAGCCCTGGCCACTCTCGCGATCTCATCATGATCAGTGGACACCCAAACACTGCAAAAAACATGAGCAGAACACAATAATGTCTACTGCCATAGAGTGCAGCCAATCACTGAGTGAAGTCCCATTCAATCACCTGTCAAAAACACCAGAGTCCAGCGCTGCTCTGATCACCCATCCGATCAAAGGAACTCCTGCCAGCATCTTGATGTTCTTCAGAGGGATACCTTTACTCCCTCCACGGGCGAGAATAAGAGCAGCGATGTATCTTGAATCGTCCGAGTTGACTTTTCTTCGTTTTGCATCGGAACAGTCGTCATTCAACCCTCGCATGCCGTTTTTGCTCGCCGCGGCCATTAGTGTTGCTAATCGATTAATATCTCCCAGTAGTGCGGATAATAAGCAGTCAGATATAAGTGTATACCTAATCCAGACGCGAGCTGAAGGGCGTTTCGTTCATTCAGCAGCAATTTATTTAATGTTACTCAAACCATAAAGTATTCAGCAAGAGAGGTAGTTGGCATCGTTCATTCAGCAGCAATTTATCTAGTGTTACTCAAACCATAAAGTATTCAGCAAGAGAGGTAGTTGGCATCGTTCATTCAGCAGCAATTTATCTAGTGTTACTCAAACCATAAAGTATTCAGCAAGAGAGGTAGTTGGCAACACAGTGACACACCACGTCGTCACTAAACATTTACCGTAATTACAGACAAAAACGGGCACTAATATATTTTAACTGTCTGTTTACTGTATAATTGTATAATCATGCCATTATACTAAATTGAATTGAATAAAAATGTATAGCGAAAAAATATTAAAACAATTAATATGCCTGCATGGGAAAAGTATGAATTGGGCAAATGCGCAACATCCAGGTACTTTCGTTTACAACCAGGAAATCAAAGCAATGATCTGCTACAAAACTATCAAATGTATTGTCATAAAAGCGATTACATTCGGCAGTGAGCTTATTTTGTTATTGCAGTAGCGTGAACTTTATATGGTTTATAAATGTTCTAGTTTTCATTCAAAAATGTAAAAGAAAATGTTGGCTCACACCAGAAACAAGAGTTGTGACACGCTTTGATCTTTTGACGTGCTTCCAAACAACTCAGTCTGTTTGAATGGGTTAAATCGGGACAGACGACAGTTTCACTAAATTTGCAGCAATTTCTAGTAATTATTAAGACATAATGTGCATTGATAACTACGCTGACTACGCTTTACAATAACATTTTATTCTGGGGAGTGATAAAGAGAGCATTAATATGGTCTCATGTTCCTTGGCAGTCAAATGTGACCAAACACCTTAAGTGTAACTTTTAATCAATTAAATAACTGTACTATATTTTAGTTAAGCTCTATTTAGTTAATTTTTTGAGGAGATTTTTTTGTACTAAATAATGTGCAATAATTATGATTCATGAATGGCCATTTAAAATATAACATTTTCTAATATGCTTATTATTTATATTTCAATTAGTGTAGTATTTAGGGTTAAAATTGAGAAAACGTTTTTAAATTACTCACGCATTATTTTCCACATTTTGCACAATATTAAATAGGTTAAAAAAAACGAAAAAAAAAGGTGTTAAATCGCAGTTAAATATAGTCAAGTGGGGCTCAATGTTAGTATGTACTTCCCTAAATAATTAATCCGTGGAATATAAAAGAACACATTGCAAGAAACTAGTGTTGTTACGTTCGTGAACGAATCGTTCTTTTTGAACGAATCTTTTTGGTGAACGAATCGTTCTCGTTCACGTAATCCATTGACTCATATTTCTCGTTCACTGAAATTCC